TTTTTGGTAAGCTATTTCTATTTTGTATCTCGTTATTTTTTATTTTTCTATCCTGCATATTTTCGTCTAGTCTCTCTCTCTCTCTCTCTCTCTCTCTCTCTCTCTCTTTATATCATGGATCACCTACCGACTCGCCAAGATGACTGATCCTACTACGAACCGGTGGGTGATTGGTTCGACCCGCCTGTCCGATTTTTTAAACATTGTTTACGATGCACCATTTAAGTTTTAGGAGTGTGAGTTGGTTGATATCTTCGAATTTGTGCCCCTTAAACCACCTTCTAATTTGGACGAGTAGATCATAACCTAGAAGACTTGGACCAGAAGAACTATGCCCCAGTACTTCATGGTCTGGGAAACCATGCTTGCCAATAGAGTACAAATACGATGGTGCTGGATAGAAAATTACATATGCAACTGTGTACTTTACTAGCCATAGCATCTGGAAGTTATATTAGATAGCTGAAGTCAAATGTCTACGAACCATAGATGGGCCTGGGTAGGAAGCTACCCCTGGGTTGATATCGTGACAAGAAAAAATACGATCTGCATCTAGCATAGGAAAAGGGTTGGCAAAGGAAAGCACTGCTAGTGGCTTTAGTTTGCTATGCAGAGAAGCCTCCATGGCATGCTGCCTGACCTCCTCTTCCTACTTCACTGAAAAAGCATCATACAGAAACCAAAAATTTTCCATTACCTTAGCCTAATTGAGACTTGGTTTGAGACTGTGTCATTCGCATTAGGCCAATCAGGGGCATGGCATTCCCAACATCACTCTGGTAATTTTTTGCCTAAAGATTTCTTGCTCCACTTCTGAGTCTGGGGGTTCAACGAGAGCCCCGTTGACAGTTCCCCATTTTACCCAACAAATATTCCAGCTAGGCCATTTATAGTGAATATTAGAGGCTTTCAGTCCTTGGGAGGACACCCAACAAATATTCCAGCTAGGCCATTTATAGTGAATATTAGAGGCTTTCAGTCCTTGGGAGGACTAAGGCCTATTCAAGGATCGACGGTGGTTGGGCTGCTGAACTCGACTAGACATTGTAGATTCCTTAAGGCGAGAACTAATCGAAGGTGAGGTTCATGGGAACTTAGTTGTTGAAGCGTGGAATCCGGAGTGGCTAGAAGATTCCTACGTTAGAAAGCGCGTCCGAATAATGGATATCCAGTAATCAAGATTCCTACCTTGTGGGGATCGGTTTTGGAATTTAGATTTGTACCTTTTTGGAATCGTGCACCCTACCAATGGGAACCACTTTAGAAATCATCGAAAAACGAGTTTCACAAGGTAAAAGGTTTGAGGTTCTAGAGTATCCTTAGCCAAGAATCCCTTAGTTTTGGAATCCATCTATTTAGTACACTTAGCTAGGGTCCCCCTGGTATTGGAATTCACATCCTCAATGGTCCTGAAGACCTGAACAAGAGTTCCCCCGGTAATGAAATCAATGCATTGAGTGGCCTTAATCATAGTTCCCAACAGGTATTGGAATCAAGGCCTTGTGCTGTTAAAGTATTCTAGCCTGAATAGAGAAAAGTAAAAATACTTGATTTGTTAATAATGAAACTTAAGGAAAACATGATATTTATTTTTGGTTCTTGGACTTTACAAATGATGCTAAGGGGAGTTTTTAGACGCTGCTAGTGCTTTTAGACACCAATCATATATTAATGGCTGATAACTTTTAAATAACATGCTTCCCTAGTCCACTAGGGAATTCATGTTTGAATTTACAGAACATACACATATTATCTTCTATATCTTGAAATAAAATTTATTTTCAACATGGACACACACACACACACACACACACACACACACACACACACACATATATATGTGTGTATGTGTATGTGTGTGTGTATGTGTATGTGTATGTGAAGATCTTGTTTGCCCACTAACTGATGGAATAGTATAAGCCCAATGTCCCAGATTGAATATAGACCGATCTGATGGTCATGATTGTATTTCATATTTGAATTTTAATCATTTTTTTTATCAATCCAAATCACTTGAAATGTGGATTATCCACTCTTCTCATTAAGGCGCACCTAATAAAAATATTAAAAACATTATTTGCAAAAATAAATTAACCAAAATACACTTGTAA